AGAGTCATCCACACGCAGAACGGCACGAAGATGCCCCTGTTTAAGATAAATATTCGATTTATTTTAACTTGGCAGGCAATTTAAACGAAGTTCTACATGTTTTTAAACAACAAGTTAGGCTTGTCAACCTTCTTGTTGAAATACTGTTCTCGAAGACAGATTAATAGAAAAACCTCTCGTATTACAGGCTGCTTTACGCAAACATCCACTGAGATAAGGGAAAACATTTGGTGGAGGCCTTAATTTAGGCCTAGGATTATGCAATTGGAATAAATATCGGTGAGAGTTCCGCGGATGTCCGCCTCTAAGGGGCTTCAAGAATTAAAACCTACATCTAATTTCCGCCTATCCAAACAATTCCTTGCTTATTTTAACCAATAGTAGTTGTTCTTATTGTCTGCTTGGTCTCCTAGCTTCATTTACAGTCTTTTTCGTCCTCTCTGCTACCTTTTTACCTAAATATTCAGTTTGATGAGACAAGTATAAGCGTCTTTACTTTGTTTCTTATTGCGCAGATACCAGCACCCATGTGTCTCTAGGAGTGTCCGACCCTTTCATTTCCCTTTTACGACGAAGCTCGTAAAACATGTCCCTTTACCCGTGTTTAACCGACTTTTCACCAGCCGACCTTACAACTCTAGGCCAATTCTTAATTTCAATGAGCGTAGCGTCGTCTCCTTTCTTTATTCTCATCGATTATTGCTTAAAAGTGACTTCGAAATATCCCTCAGAAAGTCACTTATTTCGTCCTGTCTTCTGCGCCGAAAGAATTCCCTCATTTCACTGGCGTAAATTCAAACCAACCTGTCGCTTTTTCAAACTGAAAGCTATATATAAAGTTTATTTAAAAAGCAAGAGCCAGTACGACGTTCTGATCGGTGACTGACTGACTTGAAAGCGGAAAACCGATTTCGAATTGCACGTCGTCCAGAAGTGTGGTTGGGTACGCCTGTCTGCAGTTGGCCATCCTAGTCTACCTCGCCGGTATTCCTTCCCTCTTCTGGTTTAGTTGATTTCCTAGGCTAAGAATACCTAAAAGACCCACTGGTGCAAATTACGTCCGCGCCTGCATACCCTATGGGCCATTTAGCATCTTATTTTCAGCGTCCTATTCACTTGAGCTACCAGGCAGGTGTGTGGTTTATTTGGAAGGCATGTACTTGCACTGATCTTATTTACGTTAGTCAAGTTGCGAAAACGGCCTCCAATGCTAAGGAATTCCATTGAAAACATAAGATTGAAAACTGCACACAGAGTCTACTGTAGCTCAGAATAAAGGACTTATGTCTTGCCTGCCGCCTCTTTCATGTACTTTTACCCCAATATTAGTGTTCATCTCTGAAGATGGACACCTGTAAGTGTTCGAAAGCTCAGAACAATAAATCAACTGATCTGGTACTCAACCATGCTAATACCTGGATCGCGAACCTTCTCATTCATTCGAGTAGTCAAAATGCCATAAAGGGAGAATTCTACTGAAATAACGCACGTCTTATAGTATGTTGGAAAGGGGTGTTGTCCCCTAACCGATCGGTGTTATTATTGCCAATAGAGGCGAATATGCGAGTTCCAGGAAGAAGAGTGATCGCATATTCTTCTTCTGAAGTTCTATTATTCCCCATCGAAAGTGACGAGTGTGGTTCGCTACGTCTGCCGGACAATGTCGGCACTCCTTTCTATTTCTGGTTTATTTGAGTTGCTTGATCATGCCAACCTATAAGAACAGCTGACGCAAATGAGGTGCGCGCCCGCATACCCCTTGGGCCATTTAGCACCGCCCTATCCACTTAAGCTACCAGGCAGGTGTGTGATATATTTGGAAAAAAGGACGTATTTGTACTGACTTTATTTAAATTCCTCAAGTGGAAAACATAACCTTCTAGGCTAGGAAAGTCCGCTGAAAACATTAGACTGAAAACTGTGAATAGAACCCACTTTAGTTCGCCATATTAGACCAATGACTTGCTGTTCGGGTTTTTCTTCTGCTTCCACCTTACTATTAATAGTCAAAATGCCGTAAAGAGAGTATTCTTTTAAAAGAAATGCGCACGTCTTCTGGTATGTTGGAAGGTAGTGGTGTCCCGTAACCGATCGGTCAGCGTCTAGTCAGCAGTGCTAATATTCTGGATCGAAAGTGGCAAGACAACGTGCCGTGGCGCAATGTGTTAGGGCGCGGGTTCGAGTCTCGGCTGGCGCAACATCTGGGGTCGGTAGTGGAAAACTGATGATGACTGACAAGCCAGATATTTCCCTTCCAGCCTCCCTTGTCCTTGTTATTGATGCTCTTCTACTGAATTTTCCAACGGCGTTGCCTGCCTGTTTCTACCTGCTTTCTATAATTTCACACAGTAGGAAAACATCTACCATTCTAAATATGTCTGGCAATGTAGTCCTTTCAATCTCTAGCAATTTTGGGCAATTCCCACTTAAGTTGACCAGTCCTTACTTATCAGCCCATACCTGCTCCTCCTAGGTTGCGGCCTCCTCGGTGCCCGCTGCGAGTGTTGTCACGCTTGTTGCTGGCAGCACACCTGTTGCAACATTTGCCACCAGTCCTCTTCGGACTGTCTCAGCGCCCGTTCCGCCCGAGTCTGCAGCTACCGATTTTATTGGTGATACTACTACTACTACGGTTCCAGCTGCTGTATCCTGCACTGACGCGCCTGCCGCAAAGCTTTACACCGTTCCACCGGCTTTCCCTTCTCCTCCTCCCGCGTACTCGTCTGATATCGAGGAGACCGAAGGCGTAACGCGTGGTAAGAAGGAGACCAAGATGCCTTAAGCCGCTTTCCTACTTCTTTCTTTCTATTTATCATTGATTTTGGCTGCCTTTATAAATTCAAATTTATTTTATGAAAAAAACATATGCGAAAAAACGTATTTCTTTAAATGTCAAACTTAAGAAAAGGGTATCTTTCAGCTTAAAAAAGTTTATAATTATAAGCACTTTTACGATCTTAAGTTATTAATGCTGCTTATAATGTATACGGCGTGATACACATCTGTTGCAATATTTTATGCGAACTAAACCGTAGGCGAAAACGTACCTTTCCTTAAACAGGATGTACACAGCGCGCAGTTTGTAAACCTCGAATTCAAGCGTAGCATTCGGTAGGTTTCAAAATTATTCGGCAATCGAGCAACTTTTTTAAAACCGAAAACTACCCTTTCTTTGAGTATAAAACTTAAAAAAAGTGACATTTGCTTCTGATAAGTAATTTTTTCGTGTATGCTCATCATAAAATATAGTTGAATTTATAAAATCAGTGAAAATCAATGATAAAAATGCAGAACACTTCAGTAGCTACTTTTTACAGCAGATACGTTTCGTTAGCCGTCAGAACGAAGTTCGTTAAAAAGCCGGCATCCTATCGTGTCTGAAATGACGTCAGAATAGACTGTGTGATAATCAGTATTATAACCTGACTGAATACCGAGTAGTGAGAGAGTATCAATCTTTCGCATATGTCGGTATGTTACACAAATGCTAGGCCGTACTATAATGAGGAATTTGTTGGTGTGCTGTGCGAATGAGGTCCTTAGTGCCAGGTTCACTCCATCTTTCCGTCGACTGTCTAAGCCCTCTGCAAAGTCAGCATGAATCCGGCGCCGTTGCGGTGAGCTTTTTTAAGTTCTCAGCTTTTCATCCCAGAAATCTAGCTTTTGCCAATAGTTTCTTTGCTATATACTGCTACTTGAGGTTGTTTAAGATCAAGAATGTCAGCATGAGATGAGTGGCGCAAATCTAACACACAAACAACAAGGTTCTGAAACAGAGTTAAACGCATCAGTCAAATTAAAATTGGTCAAATTGAGTATTCTCGCATCTACGCTTTTTGGAAAAAGTATACACCAGATTTGATTGGTTAAAATGGTTAAAAGGCAGGTCAGTTGAGGACCTTAACGCTTATTAATATCTGGTACCACCTCGGCACCGCACTAAGCGTCCCTTTTGACTACCCTATGTAGAGATGGACAGGTTTCCTTAATTACGGTGACTCTGGCTATGAGTAGGCTGCTTAATATCATTGATTTTGGTACTATTGAGAAGGGAGCCTTTTGAAAAAGTTGGTACTATTTACTCTACTTTAAAAGACCTTTCATCCTACTCCTAGTTAG